AAGAAATTACCATAAATTTCAACATAAAAGAGGCAAAAATCATATATGTATATAGAAATGTAACAACTGCTGGTTTTCATTTCTGGGTTAATACCTAAAACTCATCAAGTTTAAAGTAAGTGCTGCTTTAACAAATCCTTTCAAAAACAAGAAGCCAACAAAGTTTAAGTTTTTGTTTGGTTGTTAAGGTTACATCCGGGGGGGGGGGGGTTCCTATTTAAAATTTCCAATAAATTTTTTTGAAAAAAATTCTTCATCACTGCTTTAACAAATCCTTTCAAAAACAAGAAGCCAACAAAGTTTAAGTTTTTGTTTGGTTGTTAAGGTTACATCCGGGGGGGGGGGGGTTCCTATATGAAATTTCCTATAAATCTTTATGAAAATAATTCCTGATCAAACAATCAGCCAAATCTGACCAAATCAGATTTCATTTAAGCAGAACCACCTACATTTGTTATCCTAGTGTTCTCTGAGCATTAGCAAAGGCTCTCTGGTATTTCAGACTGTGTGTTAGGGAAACATGAGGCAAGGTGAACTCTGGTGCAACACTGGCCTGGGAGCTCTGTGTGTACTATGTGCCAACACAACAGAACCCAGCTGCTTTCTGGATCTTTTCTTCCAAACACACTCTAGAAAACTGCTTTCCTCTCTAAGGTATGGCCGTCCTAAGTTCACCTTCATCTTAAAGAACAGAAAGTTTGGAAGGGAGTGGCGGCCAGTCACTGCAAAAGCTCAACTGAAGCAAAACTCACAAATCTCGTTCTTGCGACACCCCAGTGGGTAGACGACAGTGGCGTGCCCTTGAGTGGTGCAATAATGCCACATCACAGTGCTGTAATTATAGCATGCCCTTCACGACGTTCCACCTGTGAGGCTCTGTGCCAGACAGCTGGACACCAGCAGAAGGAATATTACAGCACTGTCTTGATTTGCAGGTCAATTCACAGGACAAACATAGCTACCCAGCCTGTCACACCGCTGTCCTATAAAGCAAAGCTGTAATTACCGCCATTGTGTCCTACCAGAGTTCTTTTAAATTACTCTTTCTCTTATCTGTTTTCTAAATGCAAGCCCCTTAGAAACTTTTAAAACACACCAGCCACTCACTGTCGCCCTGACACCAGCAGCTACTTTATGCGTCCACACTTAGGGATCTGCTCAAGTGCTTTAAAGACAAACAGAACTCTGTGGCCAACCGAAACCACACAATTCTCACTGTGTGGGCAGGTATCCCGGATGGCACACTGTGGGCAGAGGGAAGGTGCTCTCAGCCCAGGGCCCTTTCCAAAGGCAAAGTCGAGCAGTTGAATGAATATGAGTTATTCAAATCTCAAGTCACACAGCTGATATATATCAGCAGAAAAATTGGGACAGATTTTACAGATCTTAAACTGGAAACTACATGATCTTAGGTCACTGTACTATTGTAGATAGTCTCTGCTGCATCCCAAGTTGATTCAAAGAAGGAAGTCTCAAGCAAGGTGGTCTGGAGAGGCATGTTGGGGAACAGGGCTTCCCCAAGAAGACAGAGGATGCCTGTAAGCTCCCTACCAACAGCCCTTGATCCAGGCTGGTGTCTGTGGGAAGACACCCTCATGAATCCCCTGACCATCATATGGGAAGTGAAAGGGAAGAGGGTTAGGTGCCAGGTAAAACTCCTCTGGGACTGTGTCAGCATCAAACATGCTAACACTACAGATCTCAGACAGCCATGGCTCCACACACAGCCTTCCAGAGATGGATTCCCAAGGTAGTAACAGGCACACCCCCCAAAAAGAGAGCCACATACCCTTCTTTCTGCCTTTGGGAAGATCTTCATCTTTGAATACAAATCCAAACTTACTGTAAACAGCCAAAGTTCTAGGCTTTACTGTTTTGGCAACAATGTGCACTTTTGGGAATATTTAACACTAGCAGCTGCCAGACAGTACAAAGTCCAGCAGGTATAAACTGACCAAACAGGACTTACTGTAAGCCTCCATGCCCACAGACATATGTGCCTGGCTGCAGTCATGGCAGTGGGTTAGTTTCTCCACACTCATAAACTTCACTTGGGTAGGACAGAGAACTCACAGGCTGACATCATCATTCGAAAGCTTACAAAAGCATCAATTTTATCCCACTTACTTCTCTAACACAGTAGTTTTATAGATGAGTTACACTGGCTCCAAGCAGTGAGCGCTCTGCCTTAATTAGCAATTGTGAAATCCTGAGGGGTCAGTTTATCCAAAGTTACTGAAACTACTATAGCTGAGCATCCATTTTTATACTCCTTCCCTTCGAGTTTTAATAAGCCTCAATAAATAGTCTCACTCTAGAACCCTTGCACCAGGGCCACTGGGGCCTATTCCACCCAGCCTGCTCACTGTCCTGAGGAATAGTAGGCCAAAAAATAAAAAGGCAAAAGTTTCAAACCAAAACTTCAGATAGCATTTTACTTTAATATATATTATATTTTAATAATTTAATATATATAATATATACAACTTTTATGCATATTATATAGCAATTATTTCCTAAGTTACTCTTTAGGATAACATATGGTGATTTGTAAACTCCTTGCCTCCTGTAAGACATAAGAAAATCTTACCATGACCGTGTGCTTATTTAACCACTGTAGGTGTTCAGTATTTAACCACGGTGGTGTGCTTACTTCTTCTGCCTCGAGCCATCAGCAGCAGTCACTAAAGTTGCTTCCATAGGCCCATCATTATTTCCTTACATCTAGAAGGGCTTTTCTAGCTTGTCCAGAACACACAAGAGTCCACGTCCATACTCAGCAACTGGGAAGTAGCTCACACTCGATAAATGTTTGCAACTGTCATCATTTTGATCATGATGCTCCCAGTTAGTGATGAAATCATCTCTCTCAGATCTGTGCCATGACATATCCTATACAGCCATGGGAACCTGTCTTGCAGAGGTTCTCACGCCTTCAGAATCAAGAGTGTAATGAGCATGCCAGCACAGGCCCCACTGACTTATCGAGCTGCCCTCATCAGCTAGTCAGACAAGGCTTCTCAGGTTCCCTGACAGAGGTAGGGAAAATGCACTCCAGGTACAACCTAGGCCCACAGAGAATTTCTTTACATTTTTCTTTTAATAAGAGAGAAAAGAGAAAGCCAGAAGGCTATTACTGTTAATATGATCAGCTTTGACAGGGTGCCTTGTAGCTTCTGCAGCAAAAGTGTATTTCAGGCAGGGTCCCCTTTGACAGCTTAGTCTCCCATAGCCCCAAAAGAAGCCTAGGACCTCACTTCCTCCCAGCTAAGGGACACCTTCATTCTTATCTAAAATCTGTGCTTCACTGACTGCTATACAGACACTCATAGTGGACTACTTTCAGTATCAGCTGAGCCACTGTTCTCCCAAACAACTACTTAACAAAACAGCCCTAAACTGTGGTAATAGGGTAGCTGGTAAAGGGTACTGTAGCTCTTTGTGGACTGGTTCTTGTTGTTTTGAGAAAAAAAATTTTTTTGCTAAGCAGCATAAGCAAGTCTTGAACTTGAGACCCTATGCCTTAGCCTCCCCTACATGATAGAATTGCAGGTGTGTAGGGGAAACTGTATGAGGGTGTGGTCAGGCACACCTGTAGCCAGCCCCTAAGTAGGCACCTAGGTGTGCACCACAGTGCTGGGCATAGTTCTATGTGTTTAATATATATGTATGTATAATTTATTTTTATGATATATTCTATTATATATATATATATATATATATATATATATATATAGAAAAATAAATTAGAAGTAAAACCAGACAGCATCCTCAGAATACAAAGTATACAGGTAGAAATAAAGAACCTGCTCTTGGCCACTCCACCCCTCTGTCTACTATACACATGCATACTGAGGTCAAGGAAGACAGACAAGAGTGAGGACTTAGGCATAAGACTTTGGTGGCTGGTTCTGTTTCTAAGGATCTGGCTTACAGAAGAGTGTCTGGCTAGGTCTAGAGGGCACACCTTTAAACCTTTCTCACAAACTTAGTTTTAAAGCTGAGGACACTTTTAAATAATTTCCATTGAATGTTATTTTTAAATGTTTAAAATTCTTAGCAGGAGATCTTTCCCTTTTCACCTATCCTATACAAATTAAGGTGCCTGGCCTGAATTCTTCACTGTATACCAAAGCTCCATCTAGAGTCACCCCAGATGTCTAGGCAGGCCATTTCACTAGGTGCTCAGCTTTGAGTTAGGAAGCACTGTAAGAGCTAGATACAAGAGACACCTGAGGCAAAATGGTTTCCTCCCTCTACATGGATACTACTGCTCCAGTCTCTTGAGCATATATATATATGGGAAGGGCAAATCTTCCAAGTTATTCCCAAATACTGATGAGTAGCAGGACATTCAGGGACTTGCAAATCATCCTAATAGCACTGCAAACTGAGTTGACTGATCTCAGTTAGCTATAACAGCAAGCTGCCTTGTAGCACTTAACCTTACAATGCCATAGCATATTCAATAAAGGCCTGCTCCCATAGAGTGCTCAAGGAGACTCTAGTACAGAATCCTATCTAAACCCCATAGAAATAGACCAAGGAAAAGTCCAAACTACAGAATAAAGGTCCCCAAACCTCAAAGAATCACCTTTGACACTGCTCTCTTGGTCCCCAGGCAGTGCTTGCAGGTCAGGCTTGAGAACAGATCACAGGAAGCTGGTTGCTAGCAGAGCAGACTAGCAGTGACACAGGTGTCACTAGCTCTCTAAAGGCACTAGGCTCCTTGTCTGTCTTTAGTGTGACAGTGCAGACAATGACCCACTAACTGCACATGACACCAACCAGTCTCCGTCTGCCTTCACAGCTTTAGGAACCAGATGGAAGGAATTTTCCTTCTTAGGCCCTCGGCTCATAGAACTGGCTGCAAATAGAGTACTCAGAGCAAGAAAGAAGACCAGTACTCCTTCCTTCAAAGCCACGACCGTATCCTGGTCAAAGAGGAGTCAGCAGTGACCACACACTGAGCAGACCAGAATCCAAATACAAAAGACAATATGAGTCTCCTAAAAGAACGGAAACCAAAAAAGCCGCACTATATTCCACGGCCCCCAGGAAAGCCATTCAAGTACAAATGCTTCCAGTGTCCTTTTACATGCAATGAGAAGTCACATCTTTTCAATCACATGAAGTATGGTCTCTGTAAAAACTCTATTACGTTAGTGTCAGAGCAAGATCGCGTTCCCAAGTGTCCCAAGTCTACTTTGCTGGACCCTAAGCAGACCCACCAGTCAGAGCCCACCTCAAAACAAGTCACTTCCAAGTCTCTCCCAAACGGACTCTCCAGCTTTGATCCAAAGTCTCAGCAGGGCTCTGCAAAGGAAGAGACCAAAGAGAACCTAGAAATGCAGGCCCGGGGAACCCACAAGGGACCCCAGAAAACAGCCCTACAGAAAGAAGTGACATCAGAAGCCATTCTAAGCACCCAGCCTGGTCTAGACAGTGGGGTTAGGCCTTCAGCATTTGTTCCAGTTGGGGAGCACAGACTTAGGGGGCCAGAAGACACAGAGGCTTCTGAAATGCTGGCATTAACCAGCTCCACCACCAAAGCCACCTCTTTCCATGCCAAGTCTGCATTCCATACTCCTGGTTACCCCTGGAAAGCTGGCTCCCCATTCCTGCCACCTGAGTTTCCACATAAAATCCCATCTTCGAAGGGGTTTGGTGCTATCTCCCCCTATATGCACCCTGCAATCCCAGAGTACACCCACCCCTTTTATACAGAGCATGGGCTGACTGCCATCTATTCCCCCTACCTCCTGCCTGGGAACACGCCTGAGTGTGACACCACTTTGCTGTCTGTCTATGGGTCCCAAGACCAAAGACACTTCCTGTCTCATCCTGGACCAATCCCCAAGCACTTGAACACAACTCCATCCACATATGACCACTACAGATTTTTCCAGCAATACCACTCAAATCTGCCAATTCCTTATGGATTTTACAGACCAGAGTCTGCATTTCCCTCCTACAGTCTCAGGCTCCCACCTGTCCCTGGTATCACAAGAGATCAGAGCTCTCGCCTGCTTGAAGAAGCAGCCCTGGCTTACCCAGCCTCGAGTCCCTCCGAGTTAAATCTCTCAAACTCCCACAGAAAACACACGGAGTTTGAGAAGGAAAGTCCAGTTTCTGAAGCAAAAGATCCTTCTAAAGATGGGCAAAGGGATGCAGAAGAGGCAAAAATGAGCCCCCGAGCAGGGAGCGCTGCCACAGGCTCCCCAGGAAGACCAAGCCCTACCAATTTCACCCAAACAAGCCAAACATTAGAAGGCTTGTGTGACCTCTCAAACAAAGCAGCCTCCTCAGGAACCCTGGAACGACTCCAGCAGCCTGAGCAGAGCCCCACTGCCTTCAAACCTGTCCAGAGGGGCTCAGAAAGTCCTCACTCTCAGCCTCCTGCAAACAGAACAGAGTCTCCAAAAAGGTAAGAAAATTTCTTTTTCAAAATCTTCAATGTAATTTTGTTCAACACCAAGTTTACACTCACTCAAAATGCTTTACATGATCATTTTCCTAAGATTTCTCTTGATTTCTTCTAGCCTTCAGGCCATGAACAGTGACTCTCCAACCCAGATAGGAACCAGTTCCTCTCTCATCACAGAGGAGCCACCTTCCAGCCCAGAGGACCACTCCAGGATAGCCCCCCTCAATCTCTCCAAGAAGTTGGAGACAAACCCTGCAGCCACTTATGGATCCATGTATGTAGACAATGCCCAGGCCGACACCCTGGGCTTCTCAGGGCTGCAAGACCTGCCACTCAATCTCTCTGTAAAGGATTCCTGTAATGCCTGGGCTCCTAGGCCTGTCTTCCCCAGCCCACCACAAGGTGCAGAACCTGCTGCTGCTCCCAAGACTGAGACAAAAGGTTCTGAAGGTAGGACAAGCCATGTGGAGACACAGCAAGACAAGGCCCACAGCAGGACAACCCCAGATGTACACACGGTAGACAGTAGTGAGGAACAGAAGCAAACGGCAGCTGTAGCTCTCTGTCAGCTGGCAGCCTACAGCCCAGGCAATGTCCGAGTGGGCGATGATGAGAGCACAGCCCAGGAATCCACCTGTCAAGAGGTGCCCACCCACAGTTCCACAGAGAATCAGGGGGCTCAGTGTGACCTCAGACCCAAAGGACAAAAGAGGACAAGTCAAAGGGATGCAGGAAAATCCCAGCAAGGAACTAAAAAGCCAAAGCTGAACGACACCGTACCAAGAGTGCTCACTCTACGCAAAAGAACCCGGGTGTCCTGAGGCCTCACGAGCTCCGTGCCACTCACACCATGTTCTAAGCAGCATCTCCACGTTTCTGCTTTTTGGAGGAGGTACATTATTGCTCAAACTGGCATCAAACTTGTGATCTCACTGAATCAGCCTAAGTGCTGGAACAACCAGGACACCCATAGTTTACCTTCACTTTTTATCAAGCCAATTTTTATAAATACTGTTTCTCTTTTCTTCTCAAAAAAAAAAAAAGACAAAAGGCTATAATCTTGTTCAGTTTTTTGTAAACATTAAGAATAAATATTAAAAGGTGTTTCTACTTCTGGTTTTAAAAAATATCCGAGTGGCTTATGCTCTCTGAGACTGATGAATTAAACTGGGCTTTCCTGTTTGTGACACATCAGGGAAATATACAGAACTAAAAAATAGCTCAGCAGTGTGAGCAGTGTGAGAAAAAAAAACCTTTTATATGTACTATTTTTCAGGACTAGTAAACTTTTACTGTTTTCCTATTAAATATAGTTATGTGTTTTGATGCTAGAAATATCTTCAGTTTAAGCATCAAGTGTTACATATAAAAAATGTTATGATTAATTTTTACTGAACTGCCCACAAGCATCCAGAGGCTGATTTTACAAGTAATTTATTTCCATCAGGAAAATGCATTGCTGGTAAACATATGATCCACTTATTCTACTTGTTTATGATGTCACAGCAAACTTTCTCACTTAGCCTCACATTAGTACTCACTAAAATGATGTACATGTTGTTAATTTTCCAATAAACTCTTGGAACTTTGAGAACACACAGAGCAAAGACCAATGTCAGGTCTGTGGTATTCTTCAGAGTGTTCTGCCATAACATTCAGCAAGAAAGAGTTGACAGCTGAGGCAACAATGAAACTAAGAAAGTGCTTCTGGGGTTGTTTTCAAAGACATCTAGAAGCCCTAAGTCTCAGAGTGCCTACAGGATGTCTCAGGATCCCTGGCCCTAAACGCTATGTGGGAAGAGTTCCACCTTTCTTGGTCCCCATAAGCCCTTATACTCTGGTCAGAGGTGACCTGTTAGCCCACCAAGGTGCAGGCACTGAGCACAGGCGTTCGTGGTTCTTTTTGCTCTGGCAGTGATTCCCAGCTCCTAGCCAGCCCCAATAGAGGCCGGCCAATGAAAGCTGACCAGTGTTTTACCTTCAGGTGACATTAGGACTAGAGAAACACTTTGCAGCTGGTTAAAGTCATATAAAATTCAAATACCAACAATATAAGCGGGTTGCAGAGTTTTTTACAACCATTATGAGATACATGAAGTCAGTGCTGCAAGCCATCTCTAAAGGCATAGAAGGTTTCCCACTTAAGGAAGCAGGAAAGCCTTCTGCTACTACCTGGTGAGGCAGGAGCCCTTCCCATACAAGGGGCTAGACAAGGCCTTTGGGTCCATCACACCACCACATACCAGTAACCCAAATGTACTCTCTTATGATATAAAACCAACAAATACAATCATCTTATTTTCCAGTCTGGCTCTTTTTTTATGCTTGGTAAAGAATGAAAACATGACCTCTCCTGCTCCCCATCAAGTAAAGGCCTTCAGGGGATAAGGAATGATCCATCAAGCACTGTTGTTCCATGCTCGTGACCCAAAGCCTGGCACTGACAAAGTCCTCCTGACATGCTTAACCCACATAAGAACTCAGCCCTCCATTCAGCCCCAGAACTCTGAAGTAGTATGATACATAGCTCACCCATTGTCTATATCACCGTAAATGGCAAAGAAGAACCTGGACAGCTGCCTGGATGGAGCATGAGAAGCTACTCCTCCAAACAGGAGGTACTCAGCCTGCAGAAAACTGGTCTGTGCATGGTACCACCAGCCTCAGCTGAGAGACCCACCATGAAAAAACACTACCCTCTAGGAACAGTTGCTCCAAAGGTCACCTTCAACAGCATACCCATAGCAACTAGAGTAGATATTCTATCTGCCTATAAAATAAAAGGAACCCCTATAGCTACATAATAAAACACTGGACTCTTAATTGTTTCTCAATTACTACCTCTCTACATTCACGTATGAAATCAACTTAAGAGTAAAAGCTCCTCCCTTTACAGACAAAAAGCAAAAACAAAATTAAAACACAAAACAAGCTTTTAAGAGTTAAACAGAACCACATGACCTAGCAATACTACCAGATACAGCTTATAGACCTGAACGCAAGTCTCAAAGAGACATGCTCATCTCCTGTTCACAGTAGCCAGGAGATGGGATCACGGGGAAGAATAACCATAGTGGAGCATTACTCAGCCTTACAAAGAAGGACATTCTTATACATGCTGCAGTATGATGAGTCTTGAGATCATTATACGCTATGAAATGGGCCAGACACAATGGCAAAATATCATACACACTTTGTACTTAGATGAAGGCCCGAGAATGGGTAAAACCATAGGAACAGGAAGCCGACTGGAGCTACGTGGGGTGGGAGACAGGCCATCTATTTAGAATAATATATGTTTTAGAACCAGATTATGAAATCATTGCCCAACAGCAAGAACATAGTTAATGCCACTGAACAGAATGCCTGGAAATGGCTATGACAACAAATTCGTTATATATATTTTTTAACCATAAGTTTAAAAGAAATGAGTAATGAAATATACCAAAATCCATTTAATTACATGTTAAATGAGTAAACTGTAAGGTAAGTAAACTATCTCTCTCTCTCTCTCTCTCTCTCTCTCTCTCTCTATATATATATATATATATATATATATATATATATCTTTCTAAACAATCCCAGCAAAGGTCTCCTGTGATTTGTCCTCTTTCCACAAAACCTTCTCCAGGGCAGGAACAACAGATACAGAACAGACACTCCCTCAAAGGAAAGCACAGGAGGACAACTTGCCCGCAGCAAAGTCAAAGTTGCCACACTGCAGTCTTCATTTTCCTACAAACTGGGGTGTCTGGCATCTCAAAATCATACCAATGCCAAAAACTAATAACAGTGCAACTCTGAGACCTGGACAACATGGCCCTGACCAGGGACCTGTTTGCCTGGGACCTGAAACACCAGGCATCCCACGTACATATTATGAGGGCCAATAGAGAGCTCCCTTCTTCCTGTCTCCTGCCCACATTCTCTCTCGCAAGACTTCCCTAACAAACTCTTGCATATTTAATCCTACATGGCGTTTGCTACTTAAGAGGACCCAGAAAGATGCCACAACACTATCCAAATGTTCCTTTTTGGATGATGGCATGCAACACAGCAAAACAGGAGTTCCGTGCTGAAGTGCTAAGCTGGCCAAAACTGATAGGATCAACTTTTGCAGAACTCTGGACACTAATCAAGTTCTTATGACAACCAGAGGAATGCCTAAGGAAGGAGACACTCTCAGATACTCTCACATCATGTCTGATGCTGAGATACGGAAGAGACGGCAGGAAACAAACATAATACAATCACTGGGGCAGTGGAAACCACAGGCCTCAATACTTCCTAAGAGCAAGTGCCTGAGGGGAGGCTTTTTTCTGCTGGTGCCTATTAGAGTATCTAAAATATTCTGCTTTCACACAAACAAAAAATTGCAAGGCAGACAAAGGAACAGGAAAGTATAACCCAAACATGGTGGAAAACATCTCTGAAGCAGCCCAGACATTGGATTTATCAGACACAGACTTTAAAATGCTCAGAGGGATCCAAAGACCATACCTGAACAAGCTCGAAATGTCAAAAAAGAGAAATTATAGCAACTAAACAGAAGTTCTGAAATTGAAAAGTCAACAGTTGAAATGAAGGTTCTCTAGAGGGATGTGATGATTGACACTGATTGCCAACTTGACAGGATCTATAATTATTTGGGTAACAAGACTCTGGGTGTGTCTATGATGGAGTTTCTAGTTTGAGTTAACTAAGATCGGAACTTATTTTAAATGTGGATACACCATTCCATGAGCAGGGGTCCCAGACTATATAAAAGGCAAAAGGTGAGCTAAGCACCAGCAGTCATCTCTCTCTGCTCCCTGACTGCAAATGCAATGTAGCCAGCTGCCTCACACTCCTGCCAACATGACTTCCCAGCCAAGATGGACTGTACTCTTAAAATGCACGAGTCAAAATAAACCCTTCCTTCTTTTAACTACTTTCGTCAGGCAGATTCTGGTCACAGTGATGACAGAAACTAACACAGGGGCTGACAGATTTGCACAAGTGAAAGATAGAATCAGTGATCATAAAGACAAGAAAATGAAATCACCCAGTATGAGGAGCAGAAAAATAATAATAAAGGAAAAGGAAGAGAACCTAAGAGACCTGAGGGACACAATGGAACACAACTACACACCTAAAATTCAAATCCCAAAGTGAGAAGAGAGAATGGGGCAGGTGGAATATTTAAGGAAGTCAAGGCTGAGCACATTGCAGTTTGGATGAAAGATAGGAATCTACATACCCAAGAATGTCATAACATATAACTCATAGGCACAAAATTCTCCATTCAGTAAAAACAGCAAAGAAGGAATAGAAGGTTTTAACCAAGTGTCCAAAGAGATAAGAATGTTTAATTTTAAAACATAAAAAGGGGGAGGGGGAAGTCAACCACAAAATTAAGAGCACGGGTGTACACTCTATTAGAATACTAACACTAATCAAATGTAGCCACAGAGAGAAAATAAAGCCAAAACCCTAGACTAGACTACGAGCTAATCATGACGCCCCATGGCATAGTTAACATGGCTCAAAGAGCAACTCCCCCAAAAAACCAAGAGGACCAATAAAGCATCTGGGCCACCTGAAATAAAGGCTAAGCAGTCCTTTGATAATGGCCCAAGTCCTCATCCACCAAAGCAAAAATAGAAAAATAAAAAAACTCAGGCACAATGTATGGGGGAACACATGTGTGTGTGTGTGTGTGTGTGTGTGTGTGTGTGTGTGTGTGTGTGTGTGTGTGTGTGTGTGTGTGCATGAAGACAACTTGACAGAACTCTCTAAATAGATGACCAAGCTGCTCCTTCCTGAGACTTTGCCAGGTCTGCTCTCTAAGGCTGTGGTCAAGTCAACCTGACCTCCCCACTTCTCCTCCAACTTCAGCATGCACCCAGAAAGCCTCCCATGTCCTCTGGGACAAAAACAAATGATCTTACTACAAATATATTCGTTTGTCTACACCTTGTCCTTCTAGATCATGTTTATACAGGTACCTTACCTCACATATGTGCTTTTCCTTTTCTTTCTTCAGAGATAGGGTCTCTCATTTAGCCCAGGCTAACCTCAAACTCACTGTACCAAGAACAGCCTTGAACTCCTCTAATTTCCAAATGATGGGGCTGTAGTGCTTTTGCTTTCTGTCAATTCAGAAGACTACACAATGGCTATGAGAAGCAAGTATCCAGCTATGACTTTAAGCAAACAAGGCCACTCTCAGAGGAGTGGTATAAGGTCTAAAACAAAAACATAAAAAGCATCCTTCAGCTGCTCCCAACGTTTGTATCCAGTCCTTTCTGACAAAACAACGTGACTTTACCACAACACAATTCCTGACAACAGAGGCAGTTGTAGCTATAAAAACTGCTACCATCTGGCAACATCTTGGAGCAGTTTCAGACTTCCTCCTTGGTCATCAGGGACACACAACCAAGGTATGAAGAAATGACTGACATTCTACAACAACTACAGTATTAATTAGTTTTTAAAAAGAGGAAAGGCAAAAATAAATGATGATGAGGATGTGAGAATATGGCTGGTGGGAATGTATAGCAATGTGGCCATGTTGGAAGAGTCTGACTGACTTGTTTCTTGGACTAACCATCATTTCCACTCCCAGGTCTACATCCAAGACAAATGATAACACATGTCTACACAGAAACTCATAAACAAATGTTTATTGCAGCATTACTGAAAAAGTCAGAAGGTAGAGGCAACCATGGTTAAATTGGTAAGCAAAAGGCAGTACTTGCACATAATGGAACCCCCATCAGCAGTAAAAAGGGATGAAGCATCACCAACACACGGTGATCATAAGAAAATTACATGCAGTTCAGACACAAAAGAACAAACACCAAAGTTTGTTTACATGAAATGTCTGAAAAGGGCAAAACAGAACAGCAAAGAGAGGATCGGAGCTTGCCTCAGGCTGGGTAGTAGGGTGGGCGTGGCTGCTCTGTAGTGCAGGATCTCAGCCGAAGGCAATGAAAATGTTCTCAAGTTAAATTACATGATGTTGCACAACTCCAAATATGTCAGAGACCACTATAAACTGTAAATGGGTAGACTATACGGCATGCAAATTATTGCAATAAAACTGTGTTTTTAAAAGCAGAAGGCCTAAATAGAATGCAGCCCTAGAAGACTTCCTTTGTGTCCCAGTGCTGACACTATAGCTTGGCATTAGTGACATGCAACCCACATGATTCCAGTGTCTTGCTTTAGACCAGCAGTTCTCAACCTTTGGTGGTCAAATGACTCTTTCACAGGGATGGCATACTAGATATTCTGCATATCAGATATTTACATTACATGTAGCAAAATTACAGTTATGAATAAGTAGCGAAATAATTTTATGGTTGGGGGTCACCAAACATGAGAACTGTATAAAAGGTTGCAGCATTAGGAAGATTGAGAACCACTGCTCTAGACAAAAGCCACACCCTGCATAATCTCTGTAGCACACTTTCAGGAAGCATCTTCTCTGTCCTTTGTACTCCTTTCCTTGAATTCACAAGGCACCTCCAGACAGTGGCACAGCCATGGCCTTATTCTCTGATGCCACCTCCCCAGGACCCAATAACTAGCCCGGGCTCATGGTCTTTCTTCACATGCACTGCACTGCGCCTCCTCTCCGGAAGCTCAGCTCCGCTGCTGTCACAAGCTGTGTCATCCATCAGGACCCTGTAGGGGTACCAAGTGCTACATCTCCAGATGCTCTCAATGGGTGACAGCACCCCTCAAGAGTGAAAAAAAGGTTCTAGAGACAAGAAAACCAAATATTACCAGTGGCCATGTGTAGGGGAAGCTGTAGCCACGCCTTCTTAGGGGCTGGCTACAGAAGTACCTGAGGGCTTGTGAGGGTGTGGTCAGAGTGAGTAGGGGGACTGCGTTTTGGTTTTGGTTTTTCTTTGCTTCTTGCTGTACAGACTACCACCGGCTGGCTGGTTCGCTCTGTAAGTAAGGCTTTTCCCTATTAAATACCCTTATATTTCTACCTGACTCCGTATTGGTAATTTCCTACAATAGCCATGACTCTCCAAATCCAGCACACAGAGTGTAGGCAGCATGTAGCTACAACAGGCTAAAGAGGTAATTAGTAAATTATAAAGGCAGCATGAGAAAGCAGCCTGAGAAATATGTATATACCATGTCCTTCCCCAGAAGCACTGGTGTCTGTCTGTGGCTAGCCACACTGAGGAACCCCACCAAGTTTCAGCAGCTCTGAGGATGCAGATCCATGCACTTAAGTTACTTACCCTCTGAGAGTCTCGATGGCAGCAACAAGCCTCGTCTACCCAGTTCCGCCAATGCCAGACATCCACCATGCCATGCCTTATCCGTCTCCTGAAAACTGAGACCACAGTTGTAATGTCAACTCCAGATTCAAAGCCCACAGTTTTGCAAGAAGCACAACTTGATCCATATCCTGGGCCTATGAGCCTTGCTAAAACCATTACTTCTTGGTTAAACAAATAAGAGATTCAAGCCTAATATGAAGGTATCTGCCACATCAATACTATTCTTTAAATCACCCAATAATAATGAAAGGACTTAGGTCAGCTCAAGGCCAGCCCAGAGACATTCTGCCACCTTCAACATCAAATCAGGCCACCTACCCTAGATGGTGTCCTGCCACCATAGCCACAAAGCCCTAAACTCAACCCACTCTGATCAGACAGTAGAGAGACAACAGAGATTCCACCCAACTCAGAGGACATTAGTAGATAAAGACCAGGAGGACACCTTTACATGGCACCCACTGTTACCTGAGTGATCACATTCAAGATTTAAAAAGTGATTAAATAAGAGGGACACTGTGTCACATGCCTCTAAACCTAGTCCCTGGGAAGTGTAAGGCCATCTCAACTACGTTAAGTTCAAGGCCAGACTGCTGAGACACATGAGACCCTATCTCAAAAAAAGAAAAAGAGCATTTAAAGACTTTTTCTGAAGGCATGGAGGTATCAAGTCTGGCTGTATTCCCAGGCTGATTGTAAACTTGTAGGTTCAAGCAGCCCTCCTACCCCAGCGTCCCAAGTAACTAGGACTACAAGAACCCAATTTTGCACCCATCTGAAATAGGGTCTCACAAGTAACATTTTATATTTAAAATCAATGTGCCTGGGTACTCAAAAGTTCTCTTCAGGGTGTGGTCTTCGTAACTACAATGTGAATAACTGTCTCAGACTGGTCAGGGCTGCTCTGAAGTTTCTGTATTTTGTTGCCAACATAAATACAAAAATGCACATCATTAAAACAAAAGCAAAACAAACGACAAGCTTTTACCTATTCTGGCTGAATTCATTTGACAGTAAAGAAATGTGTAGGCAAAGCATCACTAAACTGTACAACCAGCTACTTTGTACACAAACTATTAAGAGAAGAAGTCACTAATGTCTATGAAATGGACACTGCATGGGCTTTCATGAGCTGTTGGATACAGCTGTCCTCCTACTCATCACAACCAGTAATGACTCACTCATAATTAAAATTTTTTAAAGTGCCAGGTGTCTTACCATGTGTCTGCTCAGAGGCTATGTGATCATTTCAAATCTTGGGTTTTTTCTTTGAGACAGGGTCTCATGTACCCAAGCTGGCCTCAAACTCACTCTTTAGGTGAAATTGGCCTTGAAATGCTGATCCTCCAACCTCTACCTCTCAAGTGCTGGGACTATACAGGAATATGCCACCACACCCGGTTCCATTTCCAAATCTTTATGTTCCTCAGGATTAGACGCTTCCTCACACTTCTATGAAGAGTACCGTCAGAGTGAACCTGAGACAGTATCAATAAATGATGACTCAAGTACAGTAAACTCACTGCATTTCTAAATTACAAGTGTGTCACTGTGGCTCCAGGCAGGCAGGCCTGGCCTGAGATGCTGCTATCCCCACTACATAATCGTGTCTGATAAAACGCAGCCTGCATACAACAGGGGCAAAGAAAGAGACTTTGGGCCGGGCGTTGGTGGCGCACACCTTTAATCCCAGCACTTGGGAGGCAGAGGCAGGCGGATCTCTGTGAGTTCAAGGCCAGCAAGCTACACAGAGAAACCCTGTCTTGAAAAATCAAAAAAAAAAAAAAGAAAGAAAGACAGACAGACAGACAGACAGACAGAAAGAAAGAAAGAAAGAAAGAAAGAAAAAAAGAAAGAAAAAAAGAAAGAAAAAAAGAAAGAAAAAAAGAAAGAAAAAAAGAAAGAAAAAAAGAAAGAAAAAAAGAAAGAAAAAAAGAAAGAAAAAAAGAAAGAAAAAAAGAAAGAAAAAAAGAAAGAAAAAAAGAAAGAAAAAAAGAAAGAAAAAAAGAAAGAAAAAAAGAAAGAAAAAAAGAAAGAAAAAAAGAAAGAAAAAAAGAAAGAAAAAAAGAAAGAAAAAAAGAAAGAAAAAAAGAAAGAAAGAAAGAGACTTTGGCCAAGTGCTAAGGGCACGCTATTATCTCAAATCCAAGCCTAAGCTCCCGAGCCTAGAGATCCAGACAGAGAAAGCACAGAATGCTGAGATGCCATAAGTGGGTCAGAGAAAATGGCTGGGAGGTTCAGGCCTCTCCACAGACTGAACATCCTGACCCTTCCATCAGTACACTTGCACAGTGTGGGCTGAGGATTCAAGAGCAGTAACATCTTTTCTCTATCCACAACACAGTCACAAAAACAGGATACACTTTTGTATCTGCTGTCTATTAAAAATAACAGACCCATAAGAAGATGAAATGAACTAGACCCCAACAATAGACCAAGACAGCAAACCAGGAAGAAGGAACAGTCTGGAGAAGCAGCACACACCAGAGGCCTGCAACACTCTAAAGAGATGGGCTGAGGATGCCAGAGGGACTGAAAGCAAGAGAGTGCAGAAAATGTTGGGGAGGGGAGCACACCTGCATCAAAAGCTCTAAGTGACAGAGGGAGTGTGCAGGAACACCCTAAGAGGGGTGGGCAAAAACAGGGTTTGAAACTCAGGGAAAGCTAGAAAAGGGCGGAATCCCAGCCCTTCTAAAACCTTTGCTCACTTGGAGAGCAAAAAGGCCTTAGCTGCCGTCAGAAGCTCGTAAGTACTGGTACTAAGTGCAGGTACTAAGAGCATTACCAGCACACCCATCCCATTACCTCCAGGAAGGAGCTCCAGGGATAAGGCCTACAACGAATATAGAGAATCCTGAGAAAAGAAGCCACGCACATCATCTTCTCTCCACAAAGCAGTCCCAATGAGAGCGTGCTCTGCTCGTACTTCCACTACGTACAACATCATTCCAAAGCAGTCTCTAGTGACACACTATCCCCTGCAAACTGCAACTTGTCACCACGCATGCCCAGGCAGATTGAAGAAGGGCCCACCCCAGAAGGAAGTCGACTTTGGGGTGTTGGTGGACCATCTCTAAAGACACAAGGAGAAAGTGCTGGCGTGCCCAAAGTGCTGTTAACATACTTCTTGCCAGCCATTCACAATCACACAGAATAGCAGGCCCAGAACTGTACTGCCAACAAAAGAGCCATGAGAACATGAGAAACAAGTGTCTGCACAGGTGTATGCCCCTTTTCATCCTTCTACTTCCAAAGCCCAGAAAGAAAAAAAAATCACACCCAGGTTGATCATCACTGGGAAAGAAACAAAACCAATGCCCCTGTCTATGAGTACACAACGCCAGTCTATGCCCCCAGGGTCACACCCACCCACTGAGTCGTCATACACACAGGCCATGTGCCCACACACCCACAATGTCTTGAAAGGCTAAATGTCATTCATTACAATGTAACTCCAAATCCAGGCCTCAGTCACTCCAGAGCCTTAGTATCCACTCTGGCTGGCAGCACCATCAGGCGTGAACTCAGAACATTCCCTCATTCTGAGAAGCTCTGCCTATCCGCAGTACAAATGCAGAACCTACACTTGAAAATGAAGACCTACCTACATCTGCATGGGTTCAACATTGACTTCATTTCTTTCTAAAGGTTTTAGATACATAACAGTGCTGAAAAGAACAACATATCAGATAAATGAAGTTACCAAGTTTGAAAAGGGAAAAATCAGCTTTGGGGTTCTAACAAATAGCTCAGATGAGGGAAATTACAATACATGAGCAAAAGCCACAAGTGACAACCTACCTGAAGCAGGCCAGCACAGACCCCACTACTTCATCTGCCAGCTCTCTGGGAAGCCTTCCAGCCATCCTACCAATTCTGAAAAAGAGAAGCAATAGTCCATCAGCTATATATATAGGACCATCTCGAGTAAGCCTCCCATTCCCCAGAGAACAGCAAGCCTCAGATACTGCTCAGCAACAATGCCAAGAATAGAGCAGGTGATTCTCTGAACATGTGAACAGGGTATGTGGTCACCTTTCCCCAAAGTAATATAGACACTGAACTCATCACTGGTAACAGCCCCTGAGCCCTGGACAAATGCTGAAAGAGCCAACCTAGGGCCTCTCACCTATACTCTGTCCCCATTTCCACAAAAGGCTAGTCCAGGCCCTTCACAGAGGAAAGCCAGAGACCTGAAGTCAGACCCAAGAGAATGCTCCTCCCAGCAGGTCTCACTGTGCATGCCTCTGTCCATCCCTCCCAGCAGGACAGACATCAGGCCAAGATACATCTACTGTTGACATAAATACAAATTCCCATAGCAGCCCGCCTCAGTCTGTGGAGAGCTTCACATTTGTGATGCCAGGGAAACCTATGAGCAAGAAACAGCTCTGCCTCGCTTTACTTTTACCATATAGAGTCTCTTCAACAACCTAAACATCTAATTTGTAGGAATCAACTATCACTAATATTGGCTTCACACCACTTTAGGGAGTCTAAAATTTAAACTCAGAAAAATTTTCCTTTTAATTTTTTGTTTTTTTGAGACAGGGTCTCACTATGTAGCTCTGGCTACCCTGGAACTTCCTACATCGATCCGGCTGGCCTTGAACTCACAGCAATCTGCCTGCCTCTGCCTCCCAAGTGCTAGAATTACAGGCATGTACCACCATTCTCAGCCAGTAATTATCTTTAAATGTACAGTATATAAAACAATAGTTCTATCACTTGAAAAACTATAAAGTATTTATAACTCTCAAAGCCCATGTAAAGTTTTTTGTTGTTGTTGTTTGTTTTGTTTTGTTTTTCTAGGAATGAAGAGACAACACTGACTGAGACACACTTGCCCCTCACTTCTGGCACTTAGCACTAGCCCTCACTCAGGGCAATTATACATACCCTTTGGCTGCAGACCACCGCACCACAGTGTCCTTGTCCTTCAACCCAACCAGGAGCTGCTCTGAAAGAACCAGGACAGAAACCATCAGTCTGTATGAAATCTTAATCTTCTTGCTTATATGTAAACTATCCCACCAATCCTGCACTCTACTACAGAGAATACACTGTGGAAACTATGCTGAGAATCTTAAATTTTAGCCAGCCATGGGTTACACATGCCTATAATCCTAGCACTTGAGAAGCTAAGGCATGAGTACTGCCTCAGAGACGAAATCCTAGCACTTAGGAGCAAAAGCAGGAAGATCTCTATTGAGTTCAAAACCAACCTGGTCTACAAAAAGAGTTCCAGGCCAGCTAGGACTGACTATACAGTGAGACCCTTTCTCTAAAAAGTAAGAGTCTTAATTGTTTTTTGTTTGATTTTTCACATTAGTGGAAGGATGGGTGTGATGTGGGCATGCTACAGCATGAATGTGAAGACCAGAGGACAACTTCTAGGAGCTGGTTCTCTCCCTCCACCACGTAAGTCCCAAGAATCAAACTTGAGTTGTCAAGTTTAGTCCCTTTACCTACTGAGCCATCTTGCATGCCCAAGAGGTCTTAATTTTATTTTAAATGAGTGTATTGTCTGCATGTATGTATATGTACCATGTTCATGCCTGGTACCTGCAGAAGTAAAAAGAAGGAGTCAGATCCCCTGGAACTAGAGTTACAGATGATTGTGAGCCATCTTGTAGGTGCTGGGAACCAAACCAGCAAGTGTTGTAAACAGCTGAGCTATCTCTCCAATCCTGGATCTTAATTTTAACTACAATGAAAGCACTTCCTCCCTGTTTTTAAACAACCAAAGAAAAAGGCATTTCTGCCACTTTCTAACATGTAGAGCCAACCCAATAGGAAAATCAGCAGGAAGCAAGCTGCCTCCCCAGGTAAAGGCCTCAGAAGCCACTGGCAGGAGGGGGATATCAAAAGAAACTGAAGCATCTGGGAAGGCTTCCACAGAGGAAGATGAGGCCTTTGGGGATTAGCCAGAGGCAGTCAGAAGGTTATCCCAGGTCACACCACCCTACAAGCCCAATAAGGTCCAAACACTGGCCACAGGGCAGACTCCAGAACTGACAGGGATAAACAGCTAGAGATTGTGAGTGGGAAGAAACAAGTCCGCAGACTGGGTGGTGTTTGGGGGAGCAGACTGTAAAGTAACATGCCTTCCTAAGGCAGGCAGGCAGTAACAGAGAAGGAGCAAGAGAACTAACTAATCCTGGGTCTACGGAGTTCAAGGTGGTTTAGAGGGACCCAGGAAAGGTGCTGTGCCACAGAAACCAAGAAAGAAAAGACCAAATGTGAGTGCTGGCCACACAAACACCATCGCAGTGGTCAAGGAGACAATATAGACAGTGGTATAGACAAGTCTGGGGAGAAACCTGTCCTGAAGAAATCCAAAGGGTGGCAGGAAGAGTGAGTGGGAAGCAGTGAACCTGAGGCTGGGCATAGTAAAGGTCTGACTGGGAACAGACACTGGGTCAGATTCCGGATGAGTGTGGAGACCTAAAGCAGTTTGAGATGATGGAAAACATGCTTGGACAAGACAAGAGAATAGAGGCTGGAGACATGAGTCCCACGTTCCAAGTCTATTTTCCTGGGAGCCTTGTTTCCCTGAAGACAACCAGAGAGAGCAACTTAAGGGTCAGGTTGCAGAAAGGCAATGTGGAGGGATGAAGAGACAGTGGGAAGCTGGGGCTGCTGGAGCAAGTGTCTAAGGAGAAGTCACGCCAGTGAGCATGTGCTAGGTGAGGGCACAGAAGGTAACCAGGAAGGAAAGGGGGAGGGTAAACAAAAAGGAAAACCCTAGATTATGCTGCAGAGAGAGGCATGCATGGCGTCTGCTGTAGGCTCCACTTACCTATCACACTCTCTACCCCCTCTGGGACATCATAGTCTTCATCACCATCAGAAGTTAAACTATCAGACAGCAGCTTCTGCTCACTCTTACCCAGGGCACTGAGCTGCAGGTTGGCAGCCAAAGACCGACAGCCACGCTGATACCTATGCAAAACAAAACAATCTCAGGTTGTTAAGTACAACCTGGCCCTAAAAATAAGTTTTTTGGTAAGTGAAGTCATCAGCTTAACATCCCTCAAAATCATGCATGATGCCTGTGAAAATCTCACACACCATAAAGAGTGGAGGAAAAAGACCACTGATGTGACACTATCAGGACAAGCCTCAGAGAAAGCCAACCTAGGCCAGATGCATGCTCTAATTCTGAAGAGCCTTCCATAGCAAAACTTGATGGCAGAAGGCCATGGCAAAGCCTGGCCATAGGGTGCACATGGAAGATACCAGGGCCTCACCCTTGTTTATAAGCAAATGGCTGCCTTCTCCAGCTGCCTGGCATTCTGGCCTCAGCCCAGGCCACAGGGCCCACTCCTTATCTATTGGCCAACTGCAGCTCTGAACACTTCTCCCACCTGCCTAGGGAACAAGAAAAGGGGAACCAACAACAGTGTGGCTCACGGACACCACTCAACCACCATCATCCATCAGCCTTGACCAGGCAACTCCCTCCAAAGAGTCAGCATGCCAGAGTAGACAAAGCCTGATGCCAAAAAGAGAATTCAAAAAAGGAAGGTAGATTCTGTCTGAATCTCTACCCTAGGGAGAAACCCACTGGGCCAAGGCAGGGTGTTCTCCTCCCCAACAGAAAATCATAGGTGTGTACCACCTACCCCTTTGCACCACAGGCACTGTCAGGACTGCAGCAAAAAACAGCACAGAAGTGCTGCACAGCCACAGGGAGAGGGTAGGGGAGGGGGGAAGGAGGAGTAAGAGGGGAGAGGGAGATAAAAAGGGGAACCGGACATGGGAGTACATGTCCCACGTACTCGAGAGATGGAGGCAGAAAAATCAGAAAGCCAAGGTCATCCAAATAGCAAATTCAAGGTCAGTCTGGGTTACATGAGACCCTTTCCCTGCCAAGTGGGGAAGGACAATGAAATAAAAGAAAAAAATAGAAGAGAAAACAAATAGCAAGAGGGTAAATTTAAAATGCAATCATTATGCAGGCATAGTGGCTCATTCCTTTGATTCCAGCACTTGGGAGGCAGAGACAGGAGGATCTCTGAGAGTTTGAGGCCAGCCTGGTCTACAAAGTGAGTTCCAGGACAGACAGGGCTATATAGACAGGTTCTGTCTCAAACAAAACAAAACAAAAAAATAAAACGTATTTTGGGTTGGTTTGATTTTTTAAGGGACAATCTTATATATAGCTCTGGCGGGAATTTACCATATAGAACAGGCAAGCCTTGAACTATCTTCCTACCTCAGAGTGCTAAGACTATGAGTATGCAACCACGCCCAGCAAAACTAATTCTATTAACAACTACATTGTTACATGTGCAAAAATATAGACAAAATAATGGCAATAGTAAATTATTTTCTTAAATTAAGGTTCTTAGTACCTATGAACATTAACTGAACACACCTGGTATGTCTCTCAGTCACTTCTGAACACATAAACCAGCTCTAGAGTAGGTGAGTCTTGTCCAATCAGCTGATGGCCTGGGCAAAACAGTAGGCTCTCCCAACTGTCAGCCTCTGACTAGGTCACAGACTCTTCCTGCGACTCCAGACTGCCACTCACTCTTCAGAACTTAGGTTTCACCAGCTTCCACACTGTGTCCACATCCTATTTATTTTGTTTCTTTGGAGATTTTTCCATGGAGTTTTGAGAACAGATCAGTAGACTGCAGCCTAGTAACCCAAGAGTGAAGTGTACACTGAACATGTGAGAAGTCTCTAAATCATAACATACTTCTTTGGAATTCACTACACTTTGGAAAAAGTTTTAACTAAACTTAGATAGTTTTTCTTTCTCAAATCACCCACATTAAGAATTGAATGCTGCTCAGTGGTAGAGTGCTTGCACAAATAACATTAATAGCAGTAACAACAACAGCAGCACCTTCCAGACATGATGGCAACAGGCCTAGAATCCCAGCACTTAAAAGACTGAGGCAGGAGGAGTATGAATTCAAGGCTAGCCTGGGCCACAGAGCAAGACTGTATCTAAGGAAAGAAAAGAAAGGAAAAGAAAAGAAAAGAAACCGTACTGTGAGATTATCAGAAGAAGCCGTGTCCATCAGCAAGAAATGACACTTTCATTTTTGAATAAACCTTCCAAAGTGAGCCAGGTTTTCTCTGAGAGATGACTGATAAAGAAGCTTTCCCCCAAACCAACAACTTGCAGGTACACCTGAGCAGCACCTTAGGGAAAGGCAGAGCAAGCTTCTTCCATTACCATTCTAGCTTCAGCTATTCTACTAAAGATAGTGAGTCAAAAAACAGCCAAAGGAAAACTATTCCCTTCAAAACCACAAACACTCAAAGACACCAAAGGGAAATAAAAGCAGAAGACATTGTTTGCTGTTCAGCCTACACAGCCTTATCCTCTTGAGGTAAAGCAAGGTCACATGCCTTACTTACCTCCATGCAGCCACCTTTGGCTTCAGGAAAGTTAGCCCCAATCTCTGGACAAGCTTCACACCGAGCTTCCGCAGCAAGGTCTGGTTGCTCTCAGGGAGTCTGCATCCATCAAGGCACTGCAGCACAGTGTTGGCTGCCAATGAGAACATGCAACTCAATGCCACAGGAGGTGGCATGCACCCCTGAAACAAACCAATCCCACAGCCCCAAGGGAGGTAGCAGATAATTCACACAGAATCCCTGAGCAAGACCTCTTTTTCCCCAAGTCATCTGCCAAAAATAGCTAGAGTGAAGCCTATTTAATGTCCTAATCATGTAACAAAAAGTAGAAGAGGCCCAGAGCATAGGGGAGGCCATCTTGCTGCAAGCAATCATTCAGGGCCTGAGGGAAACAGGGACAAGTGTGGGCAAAGGGGTCATTCAGATTTACCAGTGTTTCTGGGGTATGTCTTATTCATGGAGTGCTCACTCAGCACTACACTAGAATGGAGGCAATGCTGAGGCAGGACACTGAGCCCCACGGGGGACACAATGGGACAATCTCTTGCACGAGACCCTGGGATGCACAGGGCATTCGGAGAATGAAGCTGGGGCAGAAGAATATGATAACGGCACTATAACGGACAAGTCTGAAGCCTCGGATAGAACCACAGGGCTGTGACTCAGCGTGGGCTTGAAATAAAATAGGCAAGGTTGAGACAAATCATACAAGGGTGAAGAAAAAAGAAGACAGAGTGGGGTGGAGCCAGGACAAAAAGCCTAGACAAAGAAACAGGACTGAGTGACAAGAGAAGTGAGGAAGGGATGAAGGGATGAAGGGATGAAGGGGAGAGGGTATGAAGCAACAGGAAGGGAGAATGACGCGAAGGTGAGGCGACAATATACCGCGGAGACAATGGAGGGGGCAACAAAAAGACGACGAGGTGATGAGGAGGAGGGCGCACGGGGACGGGAGATGGAATGTCAGGGAAGAAGAGGAGAAGGAGTGATGCAATGGAGTGATGGGTGGCGGGTGGTGGTCGGAAAGAGGGAGGTGGTGGTCCACGGGGATGCGTGAGGAGGGAAGACGGGGCCAGCGGAGTGGGAGGTGATGGCCATGGGAAAGGGGGTGGGGGATGGGCAGAGGAGAGGAGATGAGGTGTCAAGCTGAGGTGACGACGGGGACAGGGAAATGAGGTGACAGTGAGGGAAGAGGGGATGAAAAGGTGGAGACGGATATGAGGAGACATGAAATGCTAAGAGTGAGGAATAAAGCAATGAGTGCCAGGGGGGATGCCTGGGACAGGAGACGAGATGTCATGAAGGGCAATGAAGCAACTGGGGAGTGACATGGGAGCACAACGCTGCTATACAGTCCCACGTGACCTTAGGACCACGTCTACTACGACCAGGTCCATTCAGGGTTAAGTCAGGTCACTTGGAACATTGCAAAACCCAGATCTTCACTACAAAGTCTTTAGAAATTGCCTGTATTTCAAATAACTAGAATAGTTTACCAAAGTTATAATAAATAACACAAAACAGAACATCAAAGAACTATGACAGTGTCCAAATCCACAAAGCCACAGGCTACGCTTGAGTCAAATGTTACAGCAGCACACTTGATTATATACCCACAAACTCACAGCACAAACACACTGTTCTTTAATCTTACCATAGGGTAGACAATCTTCACGTTTTCCATGCTTAAATATTTGGGCCTGAAAAAATAGTATGTTTTAAATACATTTCTAAGTTTAAAACGTATACAAGTTACCAGAAAAAACTCATTACATCTTCCAGAATTGTTGCTGAGCATCCACCTGTGGAATATTCCTTTACACTGTGTGAATATATGTCACTGTGACTGGTTTAATAAAGCTGACTGGCTTACAGCTGGCAGGATAAGGTCAGGTGGAAACACCAGAAGTAGAGGGCGCTGGGAAAAAGATGACAGAGTCTGTACTGAGAGAAGGTACCAAGCCACATGACAGAGCATAGATAAGAAATATGGGTTAGTTTAAAATGTAAGAGTTAGCTAGTAACAAACCTGAGCTATTGGCCAAGCATTTATAATTACTAAGTCATTGTGTGGTTATTTGTGAACTGGCTGGAAGGACAGAAAAGCCCACCTGTCTACACCACCAAACACCAGGTGAAGAGATTCAGTTCATGATAGAGGAAAGTCTAGAAAAAGGATCTCCCAACAGGTCTCCTCATAGCAAGAGCATGTCAATAGAGTCTAGTCCTCCAAGGGGCTCAGATCCTAACCTGCAGTATGTACAGACTCAGCCAGAAGAAGCTGAGGAAGTCTCGGCATTATATGATCTGGGTACAAATGAAGACATCAAAGAACAAGAGTTACAGGCCAAAGGATCCACACAAAGGTGAGAAGCACAGAAGTCTTTCCTCATCTCTCGCCATCTCAGTCAACCCAGGAGGGTACCCCACCCCTCACCTTCCACAGGACACATTTCTACCCTCTGCCACAGTTTGCCACTGGGTCTAGGACCTCTCAAACTCACCCTCCCTGTGAGGGCAGCGGCACAACACGCAGACTATGGGTGACTTTGTAGAGCAGCAGCCAAAAACTATCTGATCTTCACTAGAACTAACTCTTTCTGGCTAGCATACTAAAGCACTGGTCCTCACTAGACTACAGGCCCTTACTACAACACTGGTCCTTCAGTTAGAAAATTGATTCTCTAATTCTTGAAATTTGTTCCTGACATACGCATCATGTCAAGCATGCATCAACACACTCATTCATTCTCTCTCTCTCTCTCTCTCTCTCTCTCTCTCTCTCTCTCTCTCTCTCTCTCTCTCTCTCTTTCTCTCTCTCTCTCTGAAACACTGGTCCTCAATAGAATTCTGATTCTTCTCACTGGAATACCAGTTCTCTTCCACTAGAGCACTGGTGCCATGCTGGTTCCACACATTTACACACATGAAAAATATAAACAGAAGTGGGCATGGTGGTTCATGCCTATAATCCTAGCACTTGAGAGACAGAGACAGGAGGATCACCATAAGCTCACAGCCACACAGCAAGTTCCAAGGTATCCAGAGTTACATAGGAAGATCCCTGTCTCAAGAAACAAACAGGCAAATAAAACATAAGCATGAATACATGTAAACACACAAGTCATAAGCATTTAAAACTGGCATAAACCCATGTAATGACACACAAGAACACACCTATACATATGCACCAATTGCACAATCAGGTCCTGTCAATGTTAGTCATCTGCATTGGACCTTCCTGTTAGTCCCCACACGCATACATAAACACCACACACACACACACACACACACACACACACACACACACACACACACACACACACACACACACACACACACCCCACACACACAAACATAAAATCCAGGTCCTGATGTCAAGTCCCAGCAACACCCAGTGCTATTACGAGAACCCAGAGAAGTCTATGATGCCTGTTGGCTCCCCAGACTGCAAGCTGCTCAGAAAGAAGTCCTCAGAACAGGTAGTGACAATGGGGAGTTTCACCTGAAAGTTGGGGCATCACAAGGCACAAACTCTAAAATCTATCTGGACAGTAGAGCAGTGATAAGCTCTAGTCTCTACACTCACTGAGTGGATAAGGCAACACAACTGCTTCAACTCCCATCTGGGAACTGGGATCAACCAACCACAGCTTCAAAATGCTGGTAGTTACAACCCCTTAGCAGAAATCACACAACATTCCTTCTGCTCCTTACACCATTTTTCTTTCCATCAACTCAACCCCAGTCCATGAATGATCATCCTAGACAGAAGTCTCATGACTTTATTTCACTCCAGAGACCCAACACTACAGACAGCATCATTCCAACATACTCAGTGCAAATGCATGGCAAACCAGGACTTAGGCCCTCAACTGTCACCTCTGAAACACCATGTCATATCTTAGGAAATCATTCCCAAAATACTCAGTGAACTTGGGTTCATAATAAGGGCGTCATCTGGAGCCCCCATGGCTTCATTGCAAACCTGAAGAGGCCTCAAGGAGGTGTCACCAAGAAAACCTTTAGTTTGGACAGGACAGAGGAACCTACCAGTGGACCCTCTGCACTTTCCCACTCACTATACCTAACCCCACTCAGCCGCCAGTAAAGAAGCACCTGAGCAGAAAGGAGGACTATCCCTCCTCCCCACACACAACTGGACACAAAACAGGCACTATACACTGCACCCTTGGAGCTGGTCTGGCACCAGGAGAATAAAAGGAGAAGAGCATAGCCCTGCTGGCTAACCTGACCACCATCTGGGACAGAGGCCAACCCCACCCTGCTGCCTACCTGTCCACCCACCTATCTCACAGCACATAAAGCCAGCCCAGGTTTACAAACTGTGAACAAATAGTTCAGGCCCAGATCGTAAATCTCATGGGGCATAACACAGAAGTTAGACCCTTTTCACTTTTAAAAAGTTAGGGCAAACTTCACATGAACAACCAACTTTTACCTCTAAACTGCTGTGTATCCCTGAACTCTACAGAAGTCCCAGCAGGCTCTAGGGACCACGTCTTTCCTGCTCAGCAGACCCTGGCTGGAAAAGCAAGGCAGAATCCAAGGGCCTGACCTCAAGGCACCTGTCAGGGCTGGCACATCCCAGAATCCCACTAAAGGGCCTTTTCACTGATGCACCCACCCCCAATCAGATATCAGCTACCCTTGTCCCTTTCTTAGTCATAGGTGGGAGAAAAAGAAAAAGAAAAAAACAGGGCCACCTTTAACAAAGACATGTTACAAAAATAACAAGACCTGAAATGAGCCTGGTGTATCTATATTACAAATATAACTGAACATCATGAGGCTTCATATTTTTTATTAAAACCATTCAGATTTCAATCAGTTTTCAAAGTAATACTCAAAACCCTGGTTAGTCTTTGGCTCAAAAAGTAATTGCTAAAACAAATGTTCCTGATTTTTCAAAAACCATGAAACAATGTGCCACCAGATAGAGAAGGCAGAAAGTCAGAGGCACTTTCCTGAGTCACCTCCTCAGCTGTACAGTGCCAGGACAGCATCACACAGGTCCATAGCTGTGCACATGAGTCTTTGTGCCTGTCCAGAAAGCAGCCAGGAGCACGGACCACAAGCCATAGAACAGGCAATGGCAACCATGCTTTAAGCACTACAGACCTCAATACACCTCTACTTCCAAAGCATACTGAAATCAGAACTGCTGTGTGTGGGGAACTTTTCCTGCTTTAAAAAGAAGCTCATAGGGTGTGCAGCTCAGGGGTAGATGCACTCGCCTTGCATAATTAAGACCTGGGTTCACAGGCCCAACACTAGGAGAAAAAAAAAAAAAAGAAGAAAGAGAAAGAAAACACACAAAAAAGAGCAGCGTGTATAGACAGATGTGCAAAATCAGGAACACGAGAAAACCAAAGGACGGTGCCTTTAAAAGGATAGGTAAGACTTCTATGTCCTTCAGTGCATAGGCCAAAAACCAGAAACCTTTGGGACTTATGAGATGGTTCAGTAGTTAAGAGGCCTTGCTGTTCTTGTAGAGGACCCAAGTTCAGTTCTCAGCACCCACATGGTTGCTTACAACCACCTGAAATTCCAGTTCCAGAGGATCCAATGCCCTCTTCTGGCCTCCAGAAGTATGGGTACCGCATACATGTGGTGCACATCTGGATAAGCAGGCAAAGTACTCCTACAGAATTTTTGTTCTGTTTTGGTTTGGTATGGTTTTTTGAGACAGGGTTTCTCTGTGTAACTTTTTAGATCAGGCTGGCTTTGAACTCACAGAGACCTGCCTGCCTCTGCCTCCTAAGTGCTGGGATTAAAGGTGTGTGCCACCACCGCCCAGCTGAATTTTTCTAAGAAAACAAAATAAATAAGAACTTTGAGTAGAACTACATTAAGTTAAAGAAAAATGGAATTTCTGGTTTAGAATCCTCCCACAAATAAAATCCTAGTTAAAAAAATTAGTGACTTCACTACTGAATTCTAGCTAACATTCAAGGAAAAAAATACCACCCTGCACAAACTCTGAGAAAATGCTTGCCAGCTGGCTGTATGAGGTCACTGCCACCCCCATACACAGCCAAGATTACAACAGAAAACTAACCAACATCTATAATACAGATGTAAAAATCCTGAATGGAGATTAACAAACTGACTCTAACAACGAACTATAAGAACGTTACATCAGAACCAAATGGGGTTTATCCATCTGCAATGAATGAAAGACTAGTTTAGTGTCCAATAATCCATTTTTGTGATATATCAAATTAACATATAACAAATAAAAACACATGATCACTTTCCTGATGAAAGCCCAATAAATTATAAAGGAGGAGCCTTCTCAACCTTATAGAAGGCAGCTATGGAGGCTGGAGAGAGAGTTCAGCCGTAAAAAGTATGTACTGCTCTTCCAGAGGACCCAAGTTCAGATCCCAACACCCATATCAGGTGGCTTACGACCACCTGTAATTCCAGGGAAATCCAGCAGCCTTTTCTGGTCTCCACAAGCACTGTACTTACATGACAAACTCACACACAAACTTATACATATAATTTAATATTTCAATATTAAATGTAATATTAAATAATTTAATTTGATTGATGTAGCATTGTTTAGTTATAAAATCAGAGATGGCAGAACAAAAAGACAACAACAGAAAGAGACACACCAGCAGCCACGTGCACGAGAGCAGGGCCAGTCCTCAGGCAGCCAGGAGGCTTG